TATTCGGGAAGAATTTCCGTTTCTTTGATTTTTTTTCTGGAAGGTGGGAAGGTTTTTAGAAAATATAAAGAAAAGAAAGATTGTTAAACTGTTTATACCACCAACATGGAAGAAAAAAAAATTATGCTTATTTTTTAGGTAAAAATTGGGTTTCCTTTGTTTTTCTCTGGGAATTGGAAGATTTTTATTGTAAATATAAAATAAAAAAACAGATTGTTAATAAGCTGAAAAAGGAAACATGCTTTTTTTTTTTTTTTTTTTTTGGTAAGAATTGGATTTCCTTTGTTTTTTTCTGGTAGGTGGAATATTTTTAGAAACTATAAAGAAAAGAAAATATTGTTGATAAACTATTCACACCACTAACTTGGAAGAAAAAATATATGCTTATTTTTTAGGTAAAAATTGGGATTCCTTTGATTTTTCTGGCAAGTAGAAGATTTTTTAGGAAATATAAAGAAAAGAAAGATTGTTCATAAGCTGTTCATACCATCAACCTGAAAAGAAATTGATGTCTATTTTTTTGGTAAGAACTGGGTTTTCTTTGACAGTTCTGGTATGTGGGAGATTTTAAAATTATATAAAGAAAAGTGAGTGTTAATTAAATGTTCATACCAATAGCTTTAAAAAAAAAATCTTGGTATTTATGTTTTGGGTTATTTTCTGGTCGGTAGGAGAGAGACAGAAAAAAGTGTTAATTAAGTTAGTGTTTTTGGGAAAGAACGGGTTTCCTAGTGTTTTTTTTAGATGGGGGAAAATAAAAATAAATAAGAAAAGGGAAAGTAATAATGGTGTTCATACCACGAATTGAAAAAAAATTTATTTTTATTTTTATTTATTTTATTTACTTTTTTGTAAGAATATGGTTTCCTTTGGGTTTTCTGATAGATGAGGGATTGGAAAATGTAAAAGGAAAAGGAGAGAAATGGTAAGAAAGAAAGAAAATGAGAAAGATATGTTTCCTTCTTCCAAGTTTTTGTTAGTTATGATTAAACATGCTTTATTATTGTTACATTTCAGCTAGAGCATATTCTTACATAAGTATATACCACTGTATTATCATCAATTTGGATGACACAATTATCAATCATAATTCTCATCATTTTCCACAACTTTTCACCATTTCCCATAATTTCTACTCCCTCGTTTATCACAAAAACTCCACACCTATCTTCATCTCACCTGAAGGCCCATATAGAACTGCACGTCCCCCTTGAAATTCTCTGGAGTGAAGGAGTAGAAGGGGTTGGGTCCGTAGCCGAACTTGAGGCGACAAACCCCGTTAAAATCTCGACGATACCCACTCGGGCACGACTCGGTGGGTACGGCTGGAAGCAGAGGGGGGGAGAGGGGTGAGGGATGAGGGGTAGGGTAGGGGTGGTGGTTTCTTGGGGGGGGGGGGGGTGAAATGAGAGGGGTTTCACAGGGGGGAATTATTCTTGGTTTCTTGGGGGGGGGTGAAATGAGGGTTTTTTTGCGTGGGGGGAATTATTCTTTTGGGAAGGTAGTAGGGGGTATACTGTTCGAAAAGGGAGCTTACTTCTCTATACTTTGAAAGAGTTTGCAATCCTCGTTAATGTATTCAAATATGTGCAGTGAATCTCTCGCTCTTTCTCTTTACTCTCTCTCTTTCTTCTCTCTCTCTCTCTCTCTCTCTCTCTCTCTCTCTCTCTCTTTCTCTCTCTGAATTTGTGCAGTGATTCAGTCTCGATGTTTTACTCGAGGATGTTAATCGTAACCTGAAGAATATTTTACATGTGCTCTAATCGCTTGCACGCAAATCAAAACAGACACACACACACCACACACACACACACACACACACACACACACACACACACACACACACACACACACACACACACACACACACCCACACACACATACCACACACACCCCCCCCCACCCACACACACACCACACACGCCGGCACAACTCACTGATAATGGCCGCGTTGAGCCCCGGGTCCGGCCCATCGAAGACGGCGCCCTTGGGAGCGGGAAGACCAGCCTGCAGGGGCACCGCGGGCAAGACCGGCGAGTGCCACAGCGTCAGGGGGGGGAGCGAATCGAAGCTCATGACGTCAGGGCCCAGAAGAGGTGCCCCCAAGGCCGCTGAGGGGCACGCGTGATGCCACAGGGTCGCTGCCACCCAGCACGTCCACGCTCCGAGTACTGGAAAATAGGGATAACACTGAATAATGATGATGACAAATAAGGACTACAACATATGAATATAACATTAATAAATGATGAGGATAACAACAAATAATGATGGTAACACACCGTAATAATTGATAATAAGTATAATCAATAACTGACATTGATACCGATATGGAGTAATAATCATAAAACATACAATAATGAGATCAATACGAGATAAGTGCAAAAAAGACAATTAAGAATGGTAAGAATTTTTTTATTCATATCTAATATAGATTAAATATGGGCGATTAGATGTATTGATGGTCTACTTTTATACCAATTTTATTATTATTAATACT